GTTAAATCTGCCCCACCTCCCAAGCGTCCGGGGCATCCAAACTGCCTAAAGCAGCCAGCAGCTCACCTTCTTGTTGATCTCAGGGTAACGAGTGCTATTGTAGCGGATCCTCTGCTCAATGACTCGGCCCGTCAGGGTGCTGCAGCTCTTTAGCTCACACAGCTTTTCGTAAATCTTTATCATCTGGAGGAAGAGGAGGACAGAAGAAGAGGTGTGACTTGTCTGTGTCTATAATCAGTGGAGCCCTGAGCCTGATCCAGCTGCAGGCTGACCTTGCGTTTCAGCTTGTGTTCTTGGATGTATAAAGAGTCCTCCGCTCCCAAGTCGTCTAAATTCAGCTCGGCGTGCTGCAGGCGGTAGATCTCGTCGTTGTACACCTTCAGCAGGTTCTCCAGGTACGCTATCTGAGAGAACACGAGAAAAGACCTGATGGGTGAGGTCAGTCTGGCTACATGACTCAGCAGTTTAGACGGCTCGTCCTGAGTGATTTTACTGCCTCAAGATGCATGTTGGGAATGAAAGGAAATAAAAGAGTAAGGTGTGATTGGTTAATGGTTGCTAGGTTGCCAAGTAAAGTACTCACACTGACAAACGAGTAACCTTAGTGACAGGATTAAGAGGGGGAGAAATCAAACTGTCTATCTGACGTTTTTCACTAACTCAATATCGCTGACTCATACAGGGGTTGTTTGGACTTTGGGCTCATTTATAAAACCTAATTCTCTCCAGTGGGATTTTTTTTAAAAGCACTTTATAAACACTGAAGAAACTTGAAAAGTGCCTAAAAATCACATTTCTGATTGTTATTCTCAACAGCTGAATTTGTTTTAAAAAGATAAATCAGACACACGTTCTACCAAAGTAGTATTCATCAACTTCGCTAAGCGGTCGACTCGGAATCGCAAAGCTTGTCCAAAGTGCACCGATCGTCATACCAGCAACAACGGCTCTGATTGGCTCATAGATGTTGTTCGGTCAGTAACGTCATTAGCCATTGGGTAACGTGCTCACGTTGATTATAGTTGATGTTTTTAGATGTCTAATTTAAAGCAAGTACATTACAACTATATAGAGATGATTATGTGACGACCCCTGCTGTGGAGGCAGCAGCCTTCCAATGAGATTTGGTGATTGAAGGCACCTGGGCCAGGTGCCCTGAGATTAGAAAGCCCTGTGTTCATTCATTGATTCTGTCGCTCTCTTCTCTCTCCAGCAGACGTCCGGTGTGGTAGGGCAGCCGCCTGTTGAATCCGGTTTTCCTTTGGGTTAAATGCCCTGGACAACACCCACCATTTACACTTTACCCTCATGCACATCCTACACTACTGATAATACTGACATTCGCATCCCATCTGGAATGGTTATGGTTTTTCGTTGTTTTGTGTGTTAAATAAAGAATGTTACACCTCGGAAACCAGTGTAACTCCAATCTTGTCATGGCCCAAAGAGCCAGGTCGTGACAATTATACCTCAAAGTAAGGTTGAATAATGAATGACTCTGTATCAAACACACATTTCCAATTTAAAACTAAATCGAAGGACACTGTAAGAGCCTTTTTTGTTATTATTTGGTTGTTCATCATCAAGTTCATCACAAAGGGTTTATTGATAAATGTTTCATCCCTGCAGACCTAAAAACGGAAAAATAGAAACATTACAGCCATTACAGTCTTTTAAAATGTGTACATGGATTCTTCTAATAAACATTTTTCCAAATGTACTATTTTAAATCCACTGATAATAATTTTCCAACGTTATATCACACCAGCAGGCTTGATGATCATTTCAAGTTACGAATGTAACTACGGTTCTATTTCATCCTTACTGACCTTCCAGAGGCAGTGCTTCACACTGGATGACTTATACCAACAGAGTCACAAGGATTACAGAGTCATTACCTCGGTGCTCTTTGGTTGCCGTGGGAGCACGAGTGATGGTGGAGACGGCCAGCTGTCCGTTGAGGCCCTGGAGGGCAGTGGAGAACCAATCGGCCTGCAGGTAGATGGGGCTGGAGGCGGAGTCTGTGAGTGGAGATGCCCACTTGAGGGTGGAGGGCTGCGGCAGGAAGGGGTTGATCTCACACTGAGGCTTCTCCACCGAGCCTCTGGGAGGGTTGAGAGAGCGGTGGCAGAGAGTGCCGGCTGGGTCTGAGGAGGTCGTTGTGGTTAACAGCAGGTTTACAGATACTCAAACTATTGCTACGTTAAAAAACAGAGAATCTAAAGAGGGAGATTAATACTACGCCTGCTTAAAAAATGTGTACTGATAGTTTTTTCCTTTTCTGATTCCTTCCTAATCATTTACCAAATTCCTGGCTGAGAAATTCAAGTTCAAGCCTGGAGGAAAAGAATGGTGTAATTAAGCAACATTGGACTCATATATCCAAATATTGATGGGATATTAAACAAGAAAGGTATCTTCTATCCACAAATACACATGATCGGTGCGTTTGTGTAGCATAACTATTTAACGCTCTCCGATTGACTTTGAAGGTTAACAGATAACTACACACAGACACACACCATCTCTCCCTCCCACATGTACACACATGCTGCTCTGCGTGTCACCCGAACTGACCGGTGATGAGGTAAACTCTGTCGGGGTGGATGTCGGGTGGAGCCTGCTGGCTCTCTGCAGGGTGGGGGTTGGTTTGGATGTGCAGAAGGGATTTCTCCAGGGTCGTGGCTGCAGCGAGACCTCCTCCTCGACCCGTCTTCTCCTGCACAAACCAGCACTCCAACACGGGACAGCTGCTGCAGGCTGTGGACCAAGAAAGGATCGGTATCAGGAACAGCAATATCATCACATTACACTAAAGGATGTGATTATTATTATTATTATCACTGGAACTGTGTAGCTGTGTACTCTTTAAAGTGATCTCGGTGTATTGATTATCTCTCTCCCCTCTCGATGCTGCGCGGTAACATTTCCAGCCACGAGGGGGCGCTGATGCCCTGAACGCGTCACACCAGATTCCCTTGTATGAACCTTCATTTAACAACACTTATGTTAAAGTTAACAATATGCAATGAACAGGAAATGGCTTAACTCATTATATCATGTGAATGTATGTCGTGCTTAGTTCGGCACATGAAGAACCCGATGGATAATGACATATAACTCTGTTTTAGATGCATAGTTAAAGTTACACTTGTAATGAAGGTGTTTGGAGTGAGAACAGCAGAGAGACATTTGAATAAAAGACTCCAGAGAGCCTGTTAACGTGACGTCACCTTCACCGCAGCAGACCGCTGCTACCAGGCACAGCGTGCAGATTGTAGAGATGTTCATCATGCTTGTGTCTTCTTTTTGCCGTCTGACAACGCTGCTACACAAACGAAGTGTGATATTTTAGTTTCACTTTCACCTGCAAGCTAGAAATAAATAATATACGTTTCCGGTCATGATTTCAAAATAAAAACACCACAATCAACGCCCAGCGATATTAAAGGTAAAGTTCGGACTGAAAATAAAATCGACTAAACTCAACGACAGAGCAACGATCAGCAGTTTTTATAAAAGAAAGAAACAGTTTGAGGTGGACAATAAGAAAGTATTGAGCTCTGCCGCTAGATGGCGCCCTTTACCACAAAATAATGAACCAGGTCACCAGCATTATGTGTCCTTATTGGTTTCATTTATGGACATAATATCACCTGATTATTATTATTATTGTTATAGGGAAGTTAGAATCAATTAGTGTATTTTGTACAATAGGAATAGACACACAGCGAGATCTGAGTCTGCAGTCTGGAGGAAGTAAATGTGTTGTAGGTTTAGAGGCAGCTGGACACCTTATTACTGCTCATGTTTGATTATTTATCCACAGAAAGTATCTTCTTTGTCTCCAGAGGAATGTGGCAAAGCGAGGCGGGCAAGAAGCTTCAGGCAGAGATCTAGTTGTCATAATATGCACATCGTGGCAGAACTGTGTGTCACACACTAGACACCAAAACGAAACCCAGCGGCCTCATCAGGTGATTCCCAGAAGCGGCACAGAGGGAAGAGCTGTTCGTGTCCAGCAGAGGCGCTCTGGGTCCGGTCCCGACTCCTGAAGGAGGTGCAGCCATAAAGGCCTCATGAACTGCCAGAGACAGAAAGTGGGAGAAGAAATCAGGTTGCATTCTGGGAAGATTTGATTCTCTGCTTCTGTTTGTTCCAGAGAATAAATGCTATCGGGAATTTAGTTTTATAATACAATTAATAGCCCAAAATAGAAAAACATATATATTTTTCACTTCCATGTGATAAAATGCTAAACTGTGTGTGTTTTACAGCGAGACGTGTTTGTGTGTCTGACACGTCCAAACAAGTGAGCACACAAGATGCAGCATGCAGATGTTCTCAGAGGGAGGCGTGTGGCTCAGTGGCAACTCAAACTAGCATGTTATAGGTTTTATTTGAGCCGTCTGATGTAAATAACAGCAGCATTAGTCTCAGGTTTTATAATAATGTTACTTTACACATGTGTAGGGTTGTATTTTTATGCCACATACAGTTTAAAAAGGTCTAAATAGTTGTAAACAGAGAGCTGGGACGTCCTTGGTGGACTACACGGTGTTTCAGGAGCTTTACAAAGTATCTCTGAATATTTAGAACATGTACTTGTGAGGAGCAGCAGAGCTCAGTTTGTTGGTTCCACCCAGGAAGAATTTTCCAAATCTTCTTTGGTAATACTGAACCGCTTATTCTGCCATCGACTCTAGTTTGGTGTAAATGAATTAAATCATGAAAAGGAGGAAGCTGAAAGACGACAAGAGAAGACACTGAAACACACTTGTGTCATAATTTATTATAATTTATAGAAAACGAACATGTTTTAGCAAAAGTCATATGATTGTGGTTTTATATGTATGTAAATAATATGTGAATAAGGATTGTGTGCCGCATCTCTCTTGTTGTGTGTTCAGTCTGAATTAAGTGTTCACTTCCTACAACAACCTGTTTTCTTTGATTCCACCTAGTTACTGATGACGTAGAGCAAATGCTGGATTGTGATTAGTCAGAATCGAGCTCTAGAAGCACATTGAAGTCAGCGGTCCTCCCTCTTCTCCCTCAGTCGGCGTTTGATCCTTGAACAGATCGGACCGTGAAACCTTTTCTCCTTCCCGGTGAAACAAGCGGACGTTAAAATGCGACTTGTCGGGGCGGAGATCTCGGTTCTGTCTCTCCTGATGATGAGCCTTCACGGCGCTGCAGCACGTGAGTTGACGCTTTGTTTAATGAGGTGTTTGATTGTAGAAGAAGAGACGCTTCGTGTCTTCATAGGCTGCAGACATCAGCTGAAGTGTCTCTGATGTCTCTGATGTTTAGCTCAGGACTCTCTCGATGACGACAGACAAAGTTGTAAAAAGTAACACATGTTGTCAAAGTGCGCGCGTGTTTCCTCTCGTGAGTTTGTGTGAAGGACAGAAGCATGTTTGTCTCACTCTGCTGTCTCTGTCTTCGGGACATTAAACGGACGGATCGCTCTTGAAGCGGACATGGCAGCATGACGTAGCGCGGCAGATCACTGATGACGTCACACTGATGCTGATGAATCAGTCATCAATATTACTTGTAGATATTATCTTATTGCAGATATATTGGTGTTTACATGTTGTCTGATGAGTGAGAAGAAAGACAAGTGAAGAAATGTCAAACTCAGTCTGAGCTCATTAATAAACCGGAAGAGCAAAAGTTGATTTTAAACTCTTAGTTTGTATCTCGTTTACTAAAAACAACAATTTATCAATCTGAATTACAGTGAGTTTAGGTCATGTGTTTATATTAAAAATAGTATCAGCTGAAATATTTAATATTCAGACTATATTAATCAGAATCAGCCTCAAACGTCCAGCATCTCTCTGCAGTATTTGATGTATTAACAGGAAATATATTTATTCTCGGACAGATTTACAAAACATTTTAGTGACCAGTGCTGAAATAAAAGCTCACAAATATGAATTGAGACACAGAGGACATGAAGATTGTGAAACATTTTTACTGTGCTGATAATTTTAAATAATATTCTAATCTTCTTGGATTCTTTTCATCCAGCTGATACCGATAGAAACTAAAACAGATACAGATTTAATATAGTTTCTTAGATATAATGCTGTGTCCCTCTGTTCATACTTTAGTTTTTCACAATTATATTTTATAGTTCAACTTAAATATAGAGATAAAAATCAAACTGGTCAGATTAGTTTCTTGTTTCTAAACGGTTGAATGAAAAAAGGAAAATCCTTCTACTCAAACAATTTAAATCTTAACAATCTCAACAACAAAATGAATACGTTTTGATTTGAAAAAAAAAAAATGTTAACAGCAATTAAAAGATCAAATAAATGACCTTTGAACTTGTTTGTGTCTCCACTTCTCTTCAAGAAACTCAGATTTCAAAGTTATTGTTTAAAACTTCACAAGACGAAACGTCTGAGGTCACAATTTATGACATAAAACAGTTTGATTTGATACGATCAAATCAAATGTCAATATAAGGAACATTATACAATAAGAAGAAATCTGGTTTTACAAACTGATTTCTATGCGTAAAAGTCAGAAACACAAATAATGATCTGAATATGTGAATTGTTTAATATTTCATTTTAGAATATAATGTTTTTAAAAGCTGAATCATCATAAATATCAAAGTAAACATTTATTTCTGTATTTATTGAGTTGTTAAACACAGCAGATGTTATCAGAGTGTCTTTGATGTTCTGTGTTTCTTTTTAATTCTGTGTGCAGGAAAACATCATAATTATTGATTAATTAAAGTGTGACATCAGAACTGATAATGATTCCTTTTTGGTTCCAGTGACTCACTCAATGAAGTTTTTCTACACTGCGTCCTCTGGACTCCCAAACTTCCCAGAGTTTGTGATTGTTGGGCTGCTGGATGAAGTTGAGATGTTTCACTATGACAGTAACACCAGGAGAACAGAACCCAGACAGGACTGGATGAGCAGAGTCACAGAGGACGATCCTCAGTACTGGAAGAGTCAGACTGAGATCGCTATGGGCCAACAGCAGGTCTTCAAAGGCCACATTGAAATAGCAAAACAACGCTTCAACCAAACTGGAGGTTTGTTTATGTTTCACACTTTTTGTTTATATTTGCATCCTTTATGTTATTAGTACATAAACACACACACACACACACACACACACACACACACACACACACACACACACACACACACACAGATTAAACAGTCTGAGATCTTTTCTTGACTGAAACATGTTCTGCTTCCAGTTCCTAAATATAAGTATATAAACACAATGAATACTTTTCCGTGTTGTTCAGGATGAAGAAGATTTCCTCTCATCCTGATTAGAACTCCAGCTTAGATTAGATGAGCTTTACTTGAGCTCAGGGAGTCGATGCTTCAGTATTTCATTCCAGGTTTTATCAGATGACGTCCAACATGTTCTAGTTGAGGTTCCTCACTGAGACGACTTCTTCCTCTTGTCTGTTTGAAATGGTGATGAATGAAATACTGCTCAGTGTTGTTCACACTGAAGAAGCACTTCCAAGGTTTCATCAGCCTCTCTGACATTTTACAGTGTGAACAATTCATGGATTCATTAGAAATAGTTATTACATCATCTGCAAAGACAAGAATAATTAGTTTGAGCCCAAAATCTGGAGTATGATACAGATGAGAGTTAATGAACTAAAGTGGACTGCAGTGAGTTTAGAACAAACATTCAGGATATTTAGTGTTGAAACATTGAATCAATTAGTTGATGAACAGAAAATGAATCAACACGAATGTTGATAATCAGATGATGACTGAAGTCTTTTATCAAGCAAATATGTTTCTCTCTCACTCTCACTCTCTCTCTCTCTCAGGTGTCCACATTTACCAGAACATGTACGGCTGTGAATGGGATGATGAGACCAATGAGGTCAAGGGTTATAATCAGGATGGTTATGATGGAGAAGACTTCATATCATTTGACCTGCAGACAGAGCGATGGATCGCTCCAAAACACCAGGCTTTCATCACCAAACAGAAGTGGGATCATAACAGAGCTCTGATAGCAGGGAGGAAGAACTACCTGACTCATGTGTGTCCTGAGTGGGTGAAGAAGTACTTGAACTACGGGAGGAGCTCTCTGATGAGAACCGGTAGGATCACATGACCTGATGTCCTTCCATGGACACGATGCTCATAAACCTTCTGTTGTTTCATAGCAACATGTCAGAGACACACAGAGACCCACTGTGTCTCCCACATTTCTCCCCCCTCACCTCCTTCTCTCCTTCACTGCACTCCCTCCCTCACTCCCCCCTCATACCTGTCCCCACTCTGTCCCTCCATCCTCTCTTTGTCTCTGCTGTGTTTCTGTCCGTCTCACTGTCTCTTTACTCTCTCTCACACGCTGTCCTCCTCCCCTTCCAATCCGTCTCCCCCCTCTTCATCTGTTTGTCTCCCTTCTTTAATCAATGAAACTTTAAAGACATTTCATTCTTTTAGTGAACTTAAATACACATAGTTGAGTGTTAAAGAGGCATTTTAAATACATCAAAGATGAATGATATTAATACACTAAATATGATTGATAATAATAAAGATGTAACCTGTCCCTCTCTTCTGTCTCCAGAGCGTCCCTCGGTGTCTCTCCTCCAGAAGACTCCCTCCTCTCCAGTCAGCTGCCACGCTACAGGTTTCTACCCCGACAGAGCCGCCCTCTTCTGGAGGAAAGATGGAGAGGAGCTCCATGAGGACGTGGACCTCGGAGAGATCCTCCCCAACCACGACGGGACCTTCCAGATGAGGGTTGACCTGGAACTGTCCTCCGTCCCTGCTGAAGACTGGAGGAGGTACGACTGTGTGTTCCAGCTGTCTGGTGTGGACGAGGACATCGTCACCAAACTGGACAAGACCAGGACCAACAGGGGTAGGTCTGAGACCCGGAGCGGTGAAGGAGGGAAGCAAACATCCACTTTGTTCACTTTGTGTGTTTTAGATTTGGGAAGTTTTGTTTTCTTACATTTCTAGTCTAGTTTTTATTTGTAGTCATTTTAAGACTCGGATCAGAATTAAACACAGCGAGAGTTATGAACACTGTTTACTGGTCTAGATTAATATATAAATGTGTCAATATTTGGTTCATTTCTCTGTAAATAAGTTTATTCGTCCTTTTGTAAACTCCTTCCAGGTAAGAGCTTTATTTGAGTCCGTGCTGAACTATTGTAACGTGTCACCACAATTCAGACGTTGTAGAATCTGCATTCACACAACTACTGGTCACTTAAAGATGAGTAGACAGAATGATTAAACACGTGTATTAATACATGTATCCATCAGTGAATCAGACAGAGCAAAGTTCAGGAAGGAGGTTGAATATGTGTCTCAGTCATCATGTGCAGACGGCATAAAGAAATGACGTCACATGGTGTGTGTGTTCAGGTCTGCTGGATAAGTGGATCTTCTTCTCTTCTGACCTGCTTCATCTGTTCAGCTTGAGACTCTTTGATTGTTTTGTGCTCCACAGAGAAGCCTGCTGCCTCCACCTTCATCATCATCATCGCTGTGGCTGTTCTTGTCGCCATCATCGCTGCTGTGGTTGGATTCAAGCTTTACAGAAACAGGAACGGTGAGAGAGACGATCAGAGACACAGTGTTGAGGAGCATTTGATTTTAGGCTTTGAGTTGATGCTTTTATCCAGAATGAGACACTGAAGCAACTTTCACCAGTCACACTTATAAAATCAAATTTGCTTTTATTCTGCATTTATTGTTTGGTGCCATTTTACTTTTAGACAATTCTGTGATTGTTTTGCACTTGAGACACTTAAACGTAGTTAGTTGTTTCTACACGTTCTTCAGGCTGTTTAGCTCTTTTTTAAAAAGTCATTTTAGCTTTTAGTTGAAGAAATAGGTTAAAAAACTGAGATTGTATCTGCTGGGAGGAAGCTGTTAGAACACTAAACACTGAAATTCTCTTTGCTTTTTATTTCAGCCAAACCCTCTTCTTCTTCTTCTGCTTCTACTGAGGGCTCTGAGGTCACTGAGGAACTGAATCCTAAACCTTGAAGTCGGCGTCCTGCACACAGTGAGTAGCTCCACGTGGACATGAACTATTCACAGCTGCTGTTCCACAAAGCTGCCCTCAGTATGAGCACAAGGAGCTTCTCATGTAAAGAAGTCTTTGACTTTTTCTACAACAAAGGTGCAGTTTGGTTCCGTGAGACGTGAGATTATTAAGAGAAAGACACAGAAAGCTTCACATCAGCTCCTCAGATAAAGTCTGATATTCAAAGCTCTTACATTAACTTCTAGGAACTCACTAACACATGTTTATCAAAATGGAGTCAAAGTAGTTTGTGGTAAATGATTTAGTTTTCTCTTTTATGTATTTGTTTCTCTCTTTAGGTTTTTGGGTGAATGTTGCTCTGGATCAACAAGCGATGCCCCACATTCTTCTCCATAAACTGTCAATTTATGGCTCATCTTTCATTTAAACGTCTGAATCGGGGTTGGTGAACATCTGGAAACTGTGAGGAAACATCAATAGTCACTTTTAATTATTTGGGTAGTTTGGTTTTAATAAATAGGTTGAAATGAAATAAAACGAGGATGATTATTTTAGGAGACGTTCAAATCAATGAAAGCATCAAAGTGCTCACAGACTAATGTGTTCATCTCAAACAAATCCACCATATTTACTCTTTGATACTTCTGCTGTTTGGGTTGAATCCTTGTTGGTAACAAGCGTGTAAACACACACACACACACACACACACACACACGCACACACACACAAAATATGGACATTAAAACAACATTTATTTTCTGATTGTGTAAATAGTTTGCTTGTATTTTTCTTTGCAGTAGATCAGGTTGTAACAGTAACAGGTTGAAGAAAATAATAATTTGAGGGTTTTGTGGATAAATCAGTATGTTTATTGTTTGATAATGTCTTTTGATCACTTTTAAAGTATCATATTATTTAAATTTGGGATGTTTTCCTTCTTGGTTTCGTGGGAGTTGAACAGTGATGCTCTGAATCACTTCTTGTTTTGTAGATGAAGGTGGAATGAAGTTGCTCCATTTCCCCTTTTTGTACCTTTGTCCTGCTGTTCAATAAATGCTCCAGATGTTTGTGTGTTGTTGTGATTCCATGTGCTTCCCCTCTGTGACTGCAGCCACAATCACATGCATGTTGTTTCCCTTTGGACTCTAAACGTCGTGTTCTTCACTTCACTGGTTTAAAGCATGCTGGGAGTTGCTGCAAATGGAAGACTCACATCGCCTGAGATCATTTTATCGTAACAAAATAACATTTGTAAATCCTGCGTCTTATCAGCACGTGTTGTGGTCGTAGTATCTACAATGATCTGAATATTCAGTGTTCTCTGTTGTCTCTGAGGATAAATGGACGAGTCTTTGACCTGCAGACGTCCAACAAAAGAGCAAGAAGAGTGAACATTTTAGGGGCAAAGCAGTGATTCTTCACAGATATCTGAAGAGGGTTTTACTTTCCATAAGACAAGAAACCATGAGACGCATTGATTAAGACCGTCCTAATCAACACGTGTGTAAAATCATTGAACAGGACATTTATTAAAGAACACTAGAAGTAGGAGCAGAGTTGAAACAAAATTCTTTATTTCATTACTGCTGGAATTCTGTGACCTTTAAAGTTGAACTTAAGTGAAAGAAAAGAAACATCCTCACAGACCTGTGAAGATTAAGGCGGTTAACCTTTTTTCATACAGACCGATATACTTCATTTATCAAAAGCTATGTGTTGTTGTTCTGCATGGAAACAGATGACATCACAGCCGTTCTCACAATGACGTCATTGTTCTGTTATATATTAAACTATAAATATGTAATCAACCTAAATATATACACGTACAAGTTGCCTTAAGTGATGTGACCCAGTTCATTTAATAATAATATGTATTTAATAGTCAGACTGTCACCAGTTATCAGGAACACGAGAGCTTTGAACATTTCACCCAACAGGTTTAGTTCTGGAAAGATTTGACACTTGACATGTTTTAGTCACATTTCACACCATAATAAAACAAAAATGATGTCACCACCTCACCAAACATATAAAATG